AGGCGGCGGCCGCTCTGGCAGCAGCCATGCCAGGGGCTGGAGGGGCCAAATCTGAAGCCAGAGGCAACGGCCCTCTGCCTGGAGGAGGAGGGCTCATGGAGGAGATGAGTGCCCTGTTAGCAAGGAGGTAGCGACACATCATATATTACTCTTCGATTCAGTACGTCTCAAAATAGGCACTTGAGTCATATGAATGAATTTCAGATCTTGTTTCATATACTACAGAAAAGTGAAACTTGACACAGTTGCCATACAGTAGATTTAGCAAACCCCAATGTTGGTCGCAATGGATTTTGTTGTGCCACCTGAAGAATAAGTTCATGTACTCATCACTCTCACTATTCCTCAGTATTATGAGATGATATGTAGTAAAATCGTAATTTAAATGCACTTTGTTGCTGACAGAGAAGTATCACTGTAAGATCTAGAGAAATCTAAGGAATTTAGGTTTTAAAAATGTGGAGTTCAGGAGGAATTGTGTGGTCTGTGCTTTATGATATTAACATTAAACATGATGATATGTTTTTAAAAATAGCAACTGTTTTTCAGAAATAATTCTGGACTCTGTCTTACAGGAGAAGAATTGCAGAGAAGGGCTCATCACCTGAACCTGACCAGAGATCAGTAAGTACCATTAGATCCTTCTTGTCTGCTGTATTCATGGGGTAGGACTGGATAAGTCTGACTTCTTCCTACTCCATTCAAGCATGTACTAGGTATAAGCAAATTGATATTGGATTAGCATTTGTTGGATATGTGTAAAATTATGTGTGTTGACATATCAACTGTCTTTACATGCTTGAAAGAATAAATCAAATCAAATCATAGCAGGCTGCTCTCCCTATACTCATGTTGCGGTCTCATTAGTGCTGTTAGTTCGTCCATCTTGTTGGAGAGGGACCGCACGTTACCCATAACGACAGATGGTAAACATGGCTTATACTTCCGTTATGCCGCCTCTGCTGCCCTGCATTTTATGCTGTATTTCCGAGGGAATCTCCAGCTTCTCCTCGTGAGGTGGCCGGTCGTTTCTGAGTGCTAGTAGTTGGCTTGGGTGTAAATGCAACCGGCGTCTCCTGACTCCGGAGCTCGCAAAATAGTAAGAATCATAATGCAAACGCAGTAACAATTTGTACTCCTGGTAGCACACCACCACTAAGGACTACAGTAAGAGAATAACACAAAGCAAACACTGGAAAACTTAATAAAAACACGAAAGAAAACCCGACGAGACCAGAGCTGCTGAAACTTGCTGCCACTCCGCGCAGCGCATGCCAAAGCTGTATACAATTACTAGACTATAGTTTACAACTGAGAAAAAGGTGAGTAGAGAATGCATTTGGACCTTTCAAGTTAACATGAGGATTCACTTTTAGAAACTGCTAAATATGAAGGTCCTGTTTTTCTGAAACAGCTTACGGTATTTGCACTGCAATCAGTCATTTGGCTTATAGCATACAGCTCACTAGGCTGTGTTTTTAGCATCTAATACCAATATAGCTACAGTTTGTTTTGTTTGCATGTGTATTTCTTTTGTTTTGAGCATATAACAGCAATCTACCAATCTACAGTAGGTATCCAGTCATATTTGGTCATCATCAACACTTCAAGTCACGCTATGCTACATTTAAACCTGACTTCTGACTTTTGTATCTCTGCTAATTATCGCAGTACATATGCAGAGATTGTGTTAAAGTTTGCTCAACTTGTTATGCTTCTCTGTTTCTGCACAGATCAATGCTTCCTGTGCCTCCAACAGCAGTGGGCCCAGCCATCAGCCTAGACCTGGATGTAGACGATGTGGAGATGGAGAATTATGAGGTTAGTGTGGTTGGATGAAAACCAAATTAGGCCACATGTAAGCTTTCTCCACAATTTGATTGTATACTATATATAACAGAATCATGTTTCCATGTCTTTGCATACATAAAAATGAATTTCTCACCATTGATCAGTCACTGTTGTAAAAGTACTAAATATAGAAAAACCAAAAGTACACTAAAAACTCCAGTAAATCAGTCTCGCCATAAAACTGACATGCTTGCTCACGTGCACCCTCAGCAGGGTGGAAAAATAAAGCTCACTCCCTTTCTCTGCCTCCCTCCCTCCATCCTCCTCCTCCCTGTGTATTTATTCTGCTTGTGTTGTTTTCTAATAGACGACTGGGTGTTTTTTTTTTTTTTTTTAATATTTGTAAAGTTTTATGTTTTTTATATATATTTTTTTATGTTTTTTTTTTTTTTAAGGGGTGGAGGTTCAGCTGAAAATCTCCGTTAGTTCCAATAAATACATTTTAAGTAGTACATGACAGACCCAAAACATCACTGGCATTGTGCTTTCTTTCTCTGTGTGTAGGCATTACTAAATCTGGCCGAGAGGTTAGGGGAAGCAAAGCCGCGTGGACTCACAAAAGCAGATATAGAGCAACTTCCGTCCTACAGATTCAACCCAGAGAATCATCTGTCTGAGCAAACTCTGTAAGCCTTTTCATCACCCATTTAATAAAACAAACTTTTATACTTAGCCCATATAGACAATGTCCTAGTTACTCCTTCTTCTACTCTCTTTTCCTCAGGTGTGTTGTGTGCTTTAGTGACTTTGAGTGTAGGCAGCTACTTCGAGTATTACCTTGTAACCATGAATTCCACGCCAAATGTGTGGATAAATGGTTAAAGGTAAGTTGATGCCTGTCTCCATTTCATAGTGTGCACATTGTTTAATATAAATATTTTGATGCAATGTCTTTATACCCGGTTTCCACTTGTCTTCCAGACCAATCGTACTTGTCCTATCTGCCGAGCCGATGCCTCGGACGTACACCGCGAGGTGGAGTGAGAACTGTCTCTGAGTGCTGAACTGGAAAGCTGCACACACCAGAGGCTGACCCAAAAACTGGGGACACCTGCCACCTAACCTGCGTCCTCCAGTAAATATAGCTTATCAACCCACTATTCCTGCCCCCTTTCCTAAATAATAAGCAATCCAGGATTGTTTCTGGAGCCTGTTGTACCTCTGCTGTGCTTCATTGTCCAAGTCTCACGAAACCCACTGCCTATTGCAGCCTATAGCCAGAGTTCTGGGATTGCCAGCCAGTTCTTTCTCCACCCCCTCGTTGCAGAGTCCAAAGATTTTCCATACAATGCATTATTTGCTGCTTTTGTTTACAGGGTTTCATTTTTATTTAGTGGAATTGGTTGTGGTGTTCTTGAATAGTGGAGAGTCCTGCATTGGAAGAGGTGAGTCAGGAGCCTGGAGGATGATAGGCTGGACACCTTGTGCAATTAGCAGAAAAAAATAATAGGAATACTTCAACATGAGTATCTGTGTTTGGAGGCAACGTCTGACCATCATAGATGCATGTTTGTGTAGGTGTTTGGGCAAAGTGACTTGTTAATAATGTATGTTCTGCAATAATGTATTGATAATTTCAACAGTTTTACCCCTTGTTTGTTTTAGATGTTGCCAATGCTATTGTGAAAGTGTGATGTGCTGTGGTTAAATGCGGATTCTGTTAAGCCTGAGGTTATGGACTGCAAGTGATGGGACATGCAACCACGGGGTGTCTTCTACCCCAGATAATCCACTCTGGAACACAGATCTGTACAAAAAGCAGTCACAGAACAGTGGGCTGCGTCTTTCCGAGGTCATCTGGCGTAACTGCACAAGTGCTACATCCAACCTCCACGTCAGCATGGTTCCTCTGGCAAGTGCGTACGTGTGTGTGTGTGTGTGTGTGTGTGTGTGTGTCTATGTTTGTCCTGTTCACAGAGCCAATGCATTGTGTAACCACTGGATACAGGGCAGCATGCTAGGATTTGCATGAACTGTTGATTCTGACTAGCAATATTTTAATCAAGCATTGCCACCAAAATGATCAAATTTTAAGAAAAATGAGACAAAGATGCATACTAAAAGAACTGCTTACTTATTCAGAAAGAGCCATGAGGGAAGACTAGCATGTGGTTCCACCATGACTGCGTTTAAGGATGGGGAGTCTTCGTCTGAAGGCTTTGCTGATGCCATAGAGTTCTGGAGGCCTGTGCAGAAAGCAATATGTGCAGTGAGTGGCGAGTTTTAAAATGAACTTTTTCTTCCCCTTGTAGGAAGACTGGGCTTTTTATTTCTTTGTTTGTGAGCTAAATCCAATATACAAATATAGCCTACTGTTCAAGATTTCAGCTCTGCCTTCTTATGACCTTGACAAGCACAAACCTATTATTAATCCTGAGAATACTTTTGTCATTTCCACTTGTTTTAAATGTATGCTGTTTTTAAAAAAATGGTTTATTTATTGGTTTTATCTTCTGGAGAATATACGTTGAAGGAAACAGTCGGAGCACTAACAATGTTTGTGTATGGTATGTGATATACTCTGCTAACTTGGTCAGGTCATTACCTTAGGCCATTGTAATAGTGTTGTAAAAGAGCAACATGTATAGCTTCAGTGTGAATGCTTTTAGATAAACATTTGAAGACAGAAGAATGTTGAAAACCCTTGTAGAAGTCACTGGTGACACTCCACAATATGCCAGCTGTCTGTATCCCACACGATAAAAACGACACCGAGTTGGAGTGTTTGGTAATGCAGAAACGCTGTTGAGACTTCAGTTCCCTGCTTGTGCTCTCACTAAGACAACAGGATACATTTGGGGTGTGAGGGGAAAAGAACAACAAATGAACTTCTGTCTTCTAACTGCCCCCCAGTAAGCACTAACAGGCAGTTGTAACCTTTGCTTTTATGTGTAAAGGGATCTTGCCTTTTTCTTTACTTTTTTTTCTTAAGTGAATGTCTTTGACGTGTGTGCCACCTTCAAGAGAAAAGAAGAAGCCATTTAATGAGTTAACACCCACAGCTTTGAGAATTAACCTATGTGTACATATCTATTCGCTGGCATATATTGTAAGTTTAAAAAATCACTCAGGGCCTCTCAGTATATAAAAATAGAGAACAGTCCATTTTAAATGGAAAAGATGCCATGAAAAGGGTATATCTGAATTTAGTTTGGTCGTTTTTCTCAGACCATAATTTAATGTAATCAATTATAATATTCTGTTTTGTCTGAAATAGTAGATATTACATAATTTAAAGACAGGCATGCAAGAAAAAAGATCAGTAAATATGTTATTAATATTCACTGAAAAGAGGCAATGTACACTGCAACCCATTACAAGTGTGTTATTCAGACCTGTTTGAATTTTGTTCTTGTACTCAAACCATATGTTGAGACATAGCGGTTGTGATCCCATTTCTTAAATGTGCCGCCGTGCACACTATCCTACCTAATTCACTCCCAGATCTACTTCAGAGATGTTTGCATGACTTAAAAAACAAAAAAAAAAGTAAAACAAGTGTGTTTTAGTGGAGGATATCAAAATCTGGTGGGGACCTTTATAGTGGTGCACAATATGCATGCTTGTCAACCAGATCCCAATTGATTTTTAGTTCTAGTTGGCTTTGGGTTCTGGGGGTTTGAATCTTAACGCTCAGCTGATAACTGCCATGCATTGTACTGCACACATTTGTAACAGAACTGAATGACTACAAGATTTTATTGCGCTAACTTCATTTTATAGAAAAGGAAAAAAAAAACTGGTCTTGAATCCAGAAATTCTTACATACATTGTGTTACTGTTATTGCCCTAACGACTGAAAATTACATGCTCTGAAACTACTGTAGTTTATCAAAAGCCATAGTGAAAAGGTGCTAGATGTTTTGCTTTTAGGTATGAAAATTCACTTGCGTGAATGCAATAGTTTGTCATGGATCTCATGTATTCTTAAAGCATGTTATACTAATACCCCTAAACAATGTCAGTGAAAATCAATATAGTTTAAGGGATTTAAAAAAAAAAGAAGAAAGTGTTGTCATACTTATTTCATTGTAGTACTGTACCTGCCTATCAGGCATTTGCTCTCAGTGTATCAATAGCTTAAAATGTATTGTTCACGTATAGATACCTTAATTCATGTTAATGTTAGCACTATTATTTTTGGAGTAAATATTTAATTGACTATCCAGCTACCCTAATGAATATAAAGAGAACCTCCCATTAAGGACTAGGTAATGAGGACATTTTTAATGACAACTGAGAATAGAGTCTTGTAGTCTTTCTGTTAAGAGTTAATGAATAATCTCACAGCTTGTATGGTGCAAAAATGTGTTCCAATAAGCAGCTAAAGTTTATTTAGGATTTGTGACTGATTGCTCAATAGATGCCATTTATTGTTTACCAATGATTTTTTGCTGTGGTGGGATAGTGGTTTACTGTTCTTACTCTCCCTGGCCTCTAGGGGTCCTTGCCTGAACACCAGACTACCCACCTGCCAACAGAGCCAGGGGCATGTGTTCTGTGTTAGGCAGATATTTTGCTTTGGTACTTGCACATTTACAGTTACCTCATTTTTTCCATGTTTGTATTCCGGGGTGGGGGAGAAAACAACTAATATATATTATATATAGGAAATGGTTCTTATTAATGTTATAATTTTTCATTCCATTGGAATCATATTGTTTGTAGCATTTAACATAACTAGTTAGTGTATTATATATACATCTGTATACTGTTTGAAATTTTTAAGATTTGTACTTTTTTTAAATGAAAGTTGCTAGTTATGCTTTACCAAGTAGTGCAATCATATTTTTTTTTTTTTAATTGTTGTGGCTGATTTGAGAGGGTTGTTCACTAATAAATGTATGATGTATACCAATATCAGGCTTGTTTTGCTTGGCATTAAGCTGTTGAAAGGTTAAAAGGCAATTTTTAAAATAACACTAATCCTTAAGTGCATTCTAGTGAAAACTGTTCAGTCTTAAAATTAATGAAAATATCCTACTCATCAAAATTATTTTCTCTTCAGGGTTAGGGTTACCCTCTTATCAAATCACCGCACAGAAAAGAGCCACCCCGTTCGCTGCACCTAATCATCACAAGCAAGTGTCGTACATTCTCAAAGCCACATTTTTTAAAATGTTTTAATTTATAGTTGGAAAATTACATCTTTACATGAGCCCATTTAGATGTTACAGGCAAAACAGGCATTTATGAGCAGCCACAGGCACACTATGGGCAGACCTGTACTATACTATATAAAGCCATATGTAAAAGCTGTGGCCTCTGTTAAGTCTTTTATCCTTCATGGGCTTGAGGCAGTCTGCTTTTACATAGTAACCCACCTGCATTAGGTCATTTTATGAGTCAAAAAAAAGGTCAGGTATACTTAGAATTTTAAATATCTAACTTATGTACAGGTCATGGCCCATTTGAAACTGGGTTTCCACATTTTTTTTTATGTCCAAATCCACCAACCTGCTCCCTGAAGTACTACATTTGCTCTCCACACCACACAGATTAACAATCACAGTAGTACCAAACTGAACTGAGACCAGTCTCTGTGCTGGTCAGTCAGGTGGGGGAGCATGTGTAAACTTAAGGCAAAGGGGATGGTGAATTAGGATACATGGATCAAACATCAAGTCTCTGACAAAGTAAAAATAGCAAAGGCATTTGCACCATCAGAGAAATCCATACTTCATGCTGCATCTTGTTATCAGTAGGTATTAATACAACCTGCCTTCCTCAGTTGCCCCAACATCAGTCAATGTGGGATATGGTTCTGGTTTTGCACAAAGCTATGCTACTGTTAAAGTACATTTCTGTATGTGATTAATTAATTAATGCTGCAACAGTTGCTGGTGAGGAAGGACTTGAATTAACTGGTAGCTGTCCACACAGAGAAAGATGAGTTCAAGGAAGGACTTCAAGAAATATTTATTTGATAAAATTCAAGACTTTCCAGGCTACTGGGAACCCTGTAAACACAACCGAACAAGGACTGGATGCAGGGTGCTTTTAAACATTTCCAGGTTAGGATTTTATCTCAATGATCCCTTGTGCATGACAGGAAAAAAATGTTATGTGGGGTGGAGGGGCACTGGAGGAAAATATGTTTCCACATAGAGAGGGTATGTCATCTATTAATCGTCCGTAAGGTCCTGAACAAAAAGGACCTCGGAGCGGCTGAGTCCTGCCTCCTTCAGTGTGGGAGGGTTGGGCTGCTCGTCAGTTGGAAGGCAGGGCAAGACTCGGCGAGGGAAGTTTGTAATTATCTGAAACTTCTCTGGGGTTTCTTTCAAAGAGAAAATGAAGTCGTATATTACCTGTGAATGAAAAAGAAAAAACAGGCATTAGAACAGGCAAATGACTACAAGAAAGAGAAGAAATTCATCACATAACGACAATGTAAGTTTATTTGTATAGCACATTTTCACACACAAAGGAAAGTGCTTTAGTGCATAAGTACTGGGGTGGGAGTGGGAAAAAAAAAATCGCTCCACATTAAAATTCGGATTGTAAAGTACTTGGATTTGATGCTCATCAGAACCAGTTAGCTTAACTGTCTGCTAAGCTTCCTCAGCTGCTCAATGGGCACAGGACAGAAATCAGTTGTATGACACCGTAAACTAGAGCAAGGGCCAAAATATAGCACCCTGCTTTTTCTTTATTGAATTAAATCATGTTTCAATTAAAAATTGTTCTGAAGCAAATCGTGACAACACAGGGTCTTCATAACTCTAGTACTCACAGTCAAAGACTGCCCAAAGAGGAATCGTCTCTCTACTCGTGTATCATTGGGCATTTTAAACACTATTTTGACACTTTCTGGATCATCTGCAGGCGGCTCTGGGGGAACACATTCTGACTTCCTCTCCTTCTCCTCTTCCAGTGTCTGGAGTTGTACAAAAGTTAATCATTAAGAGAAGAATTTTATGAATGTTAAGGGGCAAATGTCTGAAATTTTATTTTAAATAATGATTGGTTAAGGTCTCTATGTGCAGAGTGCCATGTGGAATGGAAAATAAGACTCACTCTTCGTCTCTGCTCCTCAGCGAGAGCACTCTGTCGAACCTTCTCCTCCTCTTGTCTCCGCTGCTCCTGCTCCTCCCTTTTCTTTCGCTCCTTCTCCTGGTCAGCACGAAGGGAGACCAGATAGGCCTCATCCTGCTGCTGCCTTAGCACTTGGGTCTCGTTCCTCTCCTCCCTTTGGGGGAAAAAAAAAAAACAAGTCTACTATAGACAAGTCAATATGTGGCATTAAACAGGACTGTAAACTGAGACTGAAAATGAAATGTCAAGCATTTGACTTTTAATCAAATCCACAACATGTAACTTCCAGTTTTTGGTATGTTACCTACCTCTGATACAACGTCTGCAAGTAAAGCAAAGCAACCTAGTGTGAATTTGATTTCTGCACCTTTCAAGACGCTCTGACATCAGATACGTTTGGTTGGCATCCATGATGAAGGTGAGCTGATTGATGAGGTCCTCTGGCTGAATGAGGCCCTCAAGCCTCCCCACCACTGTCATCTTGCGGTCCTTCAGCATTATCATGGCCAGGAATGGATAGGTGTTTTCCCGCAATGCTTGGGACACTAAAACAGTCAAAAATTATCCAGTCAAATTTTACTGCTTGTACAGTACTGCTACTCTGCATTTATTTAATTAGTAGGTAGTTTACACATGCATGAAACAAATCATATTCTGCTTCATCCTTAATGTTAGTTAGCATGCAAACAATTTAATGTTCCAAAATTCTGAGTTTTCTATGTCTATTACCGCCTCAACACAAAGAAATTTTGTTTGTGCCATTCAAAGCAAACAATCTGACTCAAGCAACTCAACATGCATGTTTCTAGAAATAATGTCCCAGTTACTGATAATACCACAGGACTTGCTGTCTATTTCAATCTTTTTCTGATTTTGACAAACATTTTTCAGGTTCTCTGCATTACCATGGTGACAGAAATCTCAATATAGACAATCACCACTTCCCCTTTGTTATTCTGTCTTTCATTAGGCCAAACATGAGGGGCACTTTTACATTCCACTTGCAAATCCTCCAGTTTGACTTATATCTCATACCTCATCATACAATAGATGGACATAGTATGTGCACATACGTGATGATACTTGGTATTTTCATGATCACTGTCATCCATGTTACACTAACAGTTGATTTACAACATATGGTCAGTTAAAACATAAAAACATTAGCATACCTCTATAGCCCTCAGGCTTGCTGGTTGAGCATGCCCAAAAGAGCATTCGTGTGTTGAGGAAGGTTATGACCTCTTCTGTACATAACGTGGAGCTAGGAAGTGACAGAGCAGTAGCACAAAAACAACCATTTAACAGGGAACCTTTTGTGTGTGTATGCAGATATAAATCTACTATAGAGTTGTCTTGAAAACATGCAAAAAAAAAAAAGAAAAACAACAACCACACTGCTTCAGTGACACTAATAGTGGTGTGACAAAGACAACAGGAATTGTTGGTATAAAAATATATGTTATACCGGCAAAACTCATCAGTGTCTTGGTGATCATCCCCATGAAGGTACACTAATAGGTAGCGAAGCTCCCGTTTGGCATCATTCAGTGCCTACGTGTGTCACAGTAAAACAAAAACAATGCAGCCTACTGCAGTTTTATCTTGCTAACTGACTGAACTTGATTTGAAGCAGAAAAAATATGCTGCCCTCACTGTCTCTGAACTTACCTGGCTGTATGTTCCCTGGTAAAATACTGGGTGTGACTGACCATACGTCTCCTGAAAACTATGAATGAAAGACACAACATCGCCAACAGGGTCTGTAACACGACCGCGAGGATCTGGCCTGATGAATCGCAGGGCAAACCTTGAAGGAAGGAGCAAAAAAAAAAAAGAGTGCGGCAATCATTACTTTACTCAACCTAACAGCTACAAGTTTAAATCAAATACGCTTGAATTACCTGAATATATCCAGAAGTGTGTAATATGTAAATCTGAAAGGTAGCATTATCAAGTAGTAACTCCATCCTAGTAATCCCTGGAAAACAGAACAGAAAAGAACCCAAATGACACCATAAACAACAGAAATATAAATTAAGAAAGTCCAGCTAGAATGCAGCTGTGTGTCATTAACAAAAGTTTTACAAAATGCTGGCAGTAACTGAGCTATCATCCTAAAGCTAAGACATGCAAGCCTATAGACCTACCCTGGGTTGTGGCCTTGATACGATGTAACTATATACTCTGTGGTCTGCTGTATTGACCTGTAATGGTCTGGGTGTTGGAGGGTTAAACACACTGGGCACTCCCTCCTGCTCATTGAGTCTGTCTTGTACTGCAGCCTGAAACACAAAATTAAGACCATCATATTTGTCTGTAAATAAACCATAAGGAAAAAATGGCAGGGGAGGGGGGCAAGCCAGCACAGTTCACACAAGCTGTATCAATATTAATGTATACAGAACCATGAAAATCAAATTGCAAACCCTGAGACTTTACCTCTATGTTCCAATTATGCTGCTCTAATGTTCGACGACATTGGTCCATTGATTCCAAACCTGTTAGGTCCTGTTAGACATACAAAGAAAGTCAGATTGAAGGCTTTAAATTTCTCATAAAAAGGAAGTTTGTACGTATAGTACCTGGGGTTCGTTCAGTGGCTTATATGGTACTAGTTTGTTGTGATGAATACCTCATAAAAATGTTTAGTAGAGCCATAACGTTAACGTACAAAAGTAACTTGGACCGAACGTCAGAGGTTGTAGAAAGAAATAAGTATAACCGATAACTGACATTTAATTATACATACCTACCTCTAAATTATATGTCAATATAGATAAAAAAAGAAGTCGTTTTACGTTATCGTTGCCCAAAACAGGATAGCATTAAATCACAATTTAGCTAGCTCTACAAAATATCAAGCGATTACAACTAGCTGTTCAAACGTATATTAGAGGAGCAGGCTACAAATTAAAGGGAAGGGAAGGAAAGATGCGTCACTGTTATTGTCATGAAATTAACAAATTCGTTTCGTTGTGTTGCTGAGAAACTTCAGCGACAGCTTGATCATGACCACTGTGCTAACGTTAACTCAGCAAGTGTTTTCAGGGAGCGTCAGTGAAAACCTAACATTAGCTAAGTTAACGTAAAGTTAAAAAATGCCGTTACTCAGAAACGCAGCATGAGTGATGTCAATAAACAATATTGTATGAGGAAAGTTATATGTCTATGAGTAAAATATAATAAACATTAAGCTATTTACGTCCACCAAATACCCTTTAATTCCGTTAAATTGTTAGCGAGCTTAGCCACTCTTAGCTAGTGTTAGTTTTGCTAACGTTAGCTGCTAGTCAAGTTAACGGGTAACGTTATCGAAGTTGACTGTGCAAAAAACGTTTTAACACATACAGCTCCACCTGTTTACACTGATTCAGCATCAACAACTATATGAGGTTTCAACCGGACATGTGCTAATGTAAAATTTAGACAATATACCTGAAACTGAAGGAGCTTCTCAGTCTGCGCCTGAGATAATTCTGGCTCATCTGGCGCCGCCATCTTACCTCGCCAATCATCTAGCAAGGCGTAAAAACGTCAACTGTCTTTCCCTGATGCTACCGTGCTGCCACAACCTCTGCGGCTTACTGCCACCCAGCGCTGTGGATGTAACCTTGCAAGATTACCACAGCGGCCTGGGCATTCACACTGAAGATTGATCTGAAAGGTTGTGTTATATATTCTATCAAAAATGAAAAGATTTACTCACATTCTTTTTGACTTCAACATTAATCAAGTGCCCAATGGCAAAGTATAAGCGATTGATATATTGGCTACCTAAATTAATTAGCCTACTGAAATACATAAAATTACTACAAAGCCTGGGCATTCACAACCGTGGTCCACTGTACTGAAGATTAATCTGAAAGGTTGTGTTATATATATATTCTATCAAAAATGAAAAAGATTTACTCACATTCTATTTGACTTCAACATTAATCAAGTGCCCAATGGCAAAGTATAAGCGATTGATATATTGGCTACCTAAATTAATTAGCCTACTGAAATACATAAAATTACTACAAAACACAACTTCATAACATGCTTTTTCACAACAGGCTACAAATTAAGATTCTACGGAGAATCTGAGCAAATAACCAGCAGTTTAACAGATAAGACAGAAGATTAGTTGCAACCCTACTCCATGACTTTATTTGTAACAAACGTTCCTAAATGTAAATGTCAGTTTTCATATTAGAGATGTTTGATCTTTTATTTACTAAAACAGATAACCTGTTTTTTAGTTATCTAGAATTCAAAATAGCAAACAATACCTCATAAATGAGTTTTGTTTTTTCAGTTTTTACAAATACAGTCAACATTTCTGAGGTTTTAGAATAAAAAGATGACTATAATGGCAATATGTCTCTTTCTGAAAGCAGTAAATGTAGTGGTTTTTCAGAGAGATGCCAAATTCTTCAATCAAGTTCTCCTCTCATACGCACACAAACAAACATTACACATTTTGTATTACATGAGTGAAACTGCATTTATTTGATCACCTGTGGTTGGAGTTCACAGACTTTATCAAATTGAAAAGGAAAATCCAGAGAATTATGAGAATGTCAATAACTTGTAAAATAGCTGAATTATCAGTATGGTAGCATGGATTTAACAAAAACAACCCTGACAGACGAGGATCATGTTTTCCTACTCTTAAACATTTAGCAAAACATTAACCAAACATTGAACGAAAACACAAAATCAGGAAATTAGGCTCATAAATACAGCAAATTGTGAAATTGGTATGTTATATTTTAAAATGTTAGGCCATCCCACTTCACTTTTTCCCTTCTACCATAATGATGTGGTACCCATACTTTGTCTTGACAGGAGGGTCTGTGTAGACAGGTTTATCCATGGAACTGACAGGTAGGGCAAATGCTGCATCCTGGAAAGGACCAACCATCGATCCTCGGGTCATCCACCCCAGGTCACCCTGTCATGGACACAACACCCATGAAGAAAACACATAGTACACATCCAGTAAAAGTATCAAGCCAGGAAAAAAGTGACAGACATGAACAGCAGAAGTTTCACTGTACTGAAAATATAAAATGTTATGCTTTGATTGCTATGCACAATGCAAAAATTAAAAAAAGTTTTGTTGCAGCGTTAGTTCCATATATAATTATGTCACAGATAAGTTTATGAGGTAAACTGACTACATGTTATGACTCTATAACATGTAATTATGTAGGAGCGGGTTCAGTGTCTTGCCCAAGGATACTTCGACATGTGGACTACAGGCACTGAGATTCAAATCTTCAACCTTCCGGTTGGGAGACGACTGTTCTACCCACCGCACCACTGTCGCCTCCCCAGGTCATTGGCATTTAAACAAAAAAGAGTGACAGGATCATATCTCTGAGCATTTAATAATAAATAAAAGCTGGATATGATGCAATAGTTATTTAAATTGAGGACATAATGTCGGAATAACAAAACAGGCAACACACTTGTATTTCTGTTGAAGCAATCCTCTTATAGGCTGTTTTTTTCTTCTGAGACATGGTTATAGCCTAGTTTAAGCTTCTCCCATCAGTTAACCACAGCGCATGTTGTTACTGTGTGTTTGATGTATACCAGCTTGCACTGAGAATGATTCCTCTTATTTATAATTCGCCACTGAAATGGTTTCTCCCTGAATTTTTGTTAGCTTCCTAGTCCCGTTCGGCTGGATGCATGTTGGTAAACATCTATGTGTTGCACTTTAGCAAAGATGGGTAAACAAGTTGGACTCACATAACATTACGCTATGCAAAACCAGCCACATTGTCACCACAGTCTTTTCTCTTATAAAAGTAGACCACAATGTTTGAAAACACTTCTAATAAACAAATCTCATCTTTATGTGCCTTGTCCTAGTGTGTTTTATTTTCCCCATTCTGCAATTTTCTAAATAGATCTGTCCATGTGTCGGACAGTGTAACCGTTGAAATTGGTATTCCCCCAGTCATTAACAATATTTTGTGCTGCCATAGACAAACCCTGAACATATATATGAAAGTATATGGTCAAATAGATACAGACTTTGTTGTAAGCTTTAAAATTTTCCTGACTTGGTTTCTTTTCAAATTCAAATTCAAATTTTATTTGTATAGTGCCAAACCACAACAGAAGTCATCTCAGGACACTTTACAAAGTAAGGTCTAGACCTTAATATTATCACTATTATTATAGAGGAAAACCCAACAAGCCCCCCTTGAGCAAGCACTTGGCAACAGCGGGCAGGAAAAACTCCCTTTAACGGAAGCAACAATAACATTATCCAATCTACATAACATGCAATATGGTAAATAGTGACCCAGTGACTTAGAAGGGAAAAAAAAAATTCCATGTCACAATGTATCAACAGAAAGAAAACAGAGAAGACTATCACAGTTTGGGCGATTTGAATGAAGCAATTTAAAAGCTAACAGTAAAAAAACAGCACATCAAAGAAATCACACAACTGCCTGCATGTTCTTACTCCTTGTCTAGCTTTGTCTTCACTGTACTGTGATGCTACTTCGCTGAATCGCACTCCAGCCTTCAGTTTCTCCATTGCCTCCATGCATTTTCCATGTTTTTCACAAAGGATGTGCCGAACCTGAGGAAAAGGACAACCATAAGAGCAGTTAGGAATAAACAATGGTGGAAATGGAATATGTATTATATAAAATAACTGTATACATAGACGTGTATAAAAAAAAGCGTCACAACTGATCATGTAAATAGGTCATGCTTACAACCTCCTTATTGTTTTAAAGCAGTAGTGCTTCCCTTTCACTGTGGCTCTTTTATGCAGTCATGCCTTATTATTCCAATAACGCACTTAAGGGGGAAAAACAAGCAGCTTTAACTATTTCACGAGAAAACTATTTTGCTCTAAATTTGTCTCAGGATCGATAATGAAAGAAAGTTCAAAAGCCTAACCCTGTAAAGCCTAACATATCAAAAAAATAGCCAGAACATTCAAATTTTTTGGAACTGAGATGTTTATTAAACCTTTTAACAAAATCCAAATTAAATTCATGATTCGAAATTCAAGATTCACGATTTTTATTTGCCATATATGCATAGACAGACAGTCCAGGCATATAGGAATAGAGGTGCCATATTATTTAGATTATTTCTAT